AATCCGAATGGCAGTCAGCAGGGTTTACGAACATTTGTTGTTCGACCTATTAAAGTATGGCAATCATACTTAATCTCGTTCATCAAGTTTATATATATATTATATATATAATTTGTCTCAAATTTAGCCCAATTTCAGTATGCATATATATAGATAATCAAGTCTAAATTGAAAACAACGTTCAAACCTATGATTTCGTTGGATTCATATAAATAAGAAGATAGACTGTTTCAGACTGTTCGAGTAATAGTTCAGACTTTTTTCAATAGCAAAGTTAAGGTTCAAGTAAAAATCAGTACAGTCGAGTATGGTTAAGATTGGGGTTGAGTAATATCAAGTAAAATTCAGACCAATTCAGACTGGTCGAGTAAAATTCAGTACAGTCGAGTACATATATAGGCCATTTCAGACTTTACTGGTTTGTAGTGAAGGAAATCATGTTAGGACATACAAGCCCTGGAATAGTATATGACATCGTGTCATGTTGAGGCCTTTTAAACCTGACTATATGCTATATTTCTTGCTAGTTATAATGATTGAAGGCCTTACGGTGACATAAAAATGAAAAATCTACGTTATTTGGACTAATGTGAACAGTTTTCTCATTGGCAATCATACCACACATCCTTAATTATATGTTTATGATCAACTATATATTTGAAATGATTCTCCACACATGGTATTATCAACATATGCATGGCATTGAAGTATATGGTGTTTATAGTGATTGATTAATTGATTGATTGATTGTTGGTGTTGAATGCCACTTTCATCTCAATTGTGATTAATATTCTGTGGTGGTCAATTGTTATTTGAGAAGAAAGACGGAGTGCTCTTAGAGAACCACTGACCTTCGATAGGACAACTGTCAATCCTAGTAAATTTAGATTGGAGTTAAACACACCTACCACGTGCCTGTATTATTGATATAATGCACTTTATTTATACAGTACACTATTTGTTATTTTACTTGACTTGTTATCAATGATAACGTTTTTTTAGAGAAAGATGCTTTTCCAGTGCTTATTTTAATTCATGTTCTCAAATGTAAGTTTTCTTAGTTCACTGAGATTAATCAGGAGTATTTTGTACACTAATATAGGATTTGTTCTGTCGAGTATCTTTTTATTTCACTTATTCTGAACATTGATGTGAGCTTTGTTATCACTTAGTGTCCGTCTTAGTCAAATGTCGTCCTCAACCCGTCATATTATCACCTTTTTGTCTCAATTTAAGCCAAGCGTTACATGAATGATGTATATCGAAGGTCATGTAACAATAATACCAAACACATCGCTATATTGTGATCTCATGGACCGAACGGTATGACCACAAGAGATAATCGGTGAATCTAATTTATAAATTTTGAAAATAGTGTTTGTATTGATATCAGCGCAATATTTTGAAACTGTAGATAATTGATTGTATGGCGACCACTTACAAGCCACATTAAACTGTTTAATTTCTATTTAATCAAAGTAGCTACTACTACGGGGGTACTAGACGACGTTCATAACCATAAAAGCCTCACACGGTCGATATTTGTTACTCTAGTATATTGTGAAGGGTCGTTCTAGGAGGAATAGACTACTTTGAACCCCTAGTTGTTTTTTAACCGATATTAAAGGAAAGATACATACAGGCAAAACTATTCATAATCGTGAAAGGGTTAATCTAATAAGGAATACGATGAAATTTAACCTATTCTTTAGAGATTCATTCTTACCAAATCAGTCATTTCTAAAATGTTGTTATGCAGGGTATGTTGATAAAGTCTTGAATTGAATTTGGGTAACAGATGGGTTAAAACAACCACACAACACTATACTAGTGTACTCTAATCTGTAATACGAAACCTGCTATAGCAAGGTTATAACGAATAACTATTGATATTCAAACTATACACATTGAACAATTACCATCATGAATAAGTTGACCGATAAAATATGCATGTTTCTCAACTGTGTTTTCGTCTTACTATATCTTATATACATGTATATAGTTAAGATACAATATCAAATATTTTTTTTTATAGAAGAGTATATGACATTACCGAGACCAATGGGAAACTAAATATGCTATGATAACATCTGCTTTGTCGTTTTTTTTTTTTGTACCATATATTTGACGTGTATTCATTTTAAAGTGTTAATTGAGTTCTTTTACACTACTTGTTTGGTTCTGTTACAATTGATCTAGATTTCTCTCAAAATAATAACGTGTCAGAACGCATCATTTTTTTTAAATCTCAAAACCAAGAAAACAACCCTTTATAAATTTCATGCGTCCGAAGCGTTCTTCGAAAATGTTATTTTGAAAATAGTTTGCCCAGTTAAAGGGACTGAAAAACGGAGAACAAAGAAGTGTATGTATTATCGATGCTAATACCAAAACTATTCGAAAAGTAATTCTAAAATTCGGAAATGTGTTGCTTATAACAGTATGTTTTGCCTGTATTATCGGCCGTTGGTGGCGCAGTACGTTTAATTACGTAGCTACACCTGGTCGTGATTTAGATTTGTTATACAAAACCTTCTCTAGCAGGGTTATAAGGAATAACTATTGATATCTTCACTATACACATTTTACAATTACTGGCCTGAATTGGTAGACCGATACAATATGTATGTTTCTCAACTTACCAACGTTATTTTATCTTAAGATACAATTAAAGGATCCATTATTCTTATAGCGACATTTCAACTGAGACTTGATTCGCACAGCGGATGGTGCATGTTGCCACGCTTTGTATCCATGAGGAGCCTATTGTGATCAGTCAGTACGATATCAGACTCTGACGTTGAAAACTGGATTTTTTTTTATCAAAGTCACCATACGGTCGTGAACTTTGAAAAGATCAGAGCATATATAAGAATACAACAAGACAACAAAAGACACTATTGAAGACCTACGTAAGACACACAGAAACGTTTGAGGTAAACATTTCTATTGAGAGCTGAAACTAACGAATAAGTAAGCAAATTAAGCCTCTGCCTGAAAATAAATACACTGATATCACAAATATTACAAAACGCAAAAATTCCACGTTACAGTACACACATTTACAGAATGTCAAAAGCACAGCTTAAAGAAAACTATGTAATTCCATGTATTAAGTAATTTTCCTATAGAAAATTAAATCTTGCTTTCTGGGATTGTTTTTCAAACAGTAGTGTGTTCCAACAGAGCTATGGGGATGAAAGCGACACTACATGAATTTTAAAAAGGTCACATCACAATATGGTTGACCTTTGTGACGTTTTCTTGTCTGAACTTACTAGCGACATATTTTTCTCGTGGTCTTAGATCTTTAGATACAAGTTAAGGCGTCCGATCTAATTTTTACCTATTGCTTCTCGACTGTGAGAGTTTGACTGAGTTTTATTTTGCGTGGCGGAAGATGCATGCATAGCAAGAGACGCATACCCTATCCACTCACTCGGTCGTGCTGATTTTTGGATTCCATGCGATTCCTTCAGTTTTTCTCTGTTACATCGATTTGTAGTCTCCTAAACGCATTACGAGATTTGAACATCGGTTTCTTTAAATTCTCAGTAACATATACATATACATATCTTTTCTTTGCATGCTTGTTTGTGCTCTACAGTGTTTTATAATTTTAAGTTTCCAAACTTCTAATGAACATGATTCAAGAAATGCTTGGTCTACTCTCGTAAATAGTTTCAAATGCAGATGAACCATTAATCCTCTTAAATACCATTTATCAAGTACTTCAGTATTGACATCATTTAAATAATAGCTTTGCATTTCATATAAATATGCTTAATGTTTAATCTCCTAAGGTTGTTGTGCCCTTAAATGTTCAATGTTTATTGACTTTCCAAAGATTGTTGTCGATAAAACATCGTAAAATGGTATTCCAACAGTACCTGTTTTACGGACGGAAGTCATATCAGGTGTTTGATTGAATTCATTACCATCGTTGCAGCTATGAACGTTTATTTTTCTCAAAGAAGAGTATATGACATTACCTAGACCAATGGGAAACTTAATATGCTATGATAACATCTGCTGCGTCGTTTTTTGTACCATATATTTGGCGTATATTCATTTTACAGTCACTGTGTTAATTAGGTACTTTTACAATACCTTTTTGGTTCTGTTGCAGTTGATCTAGTTTTTTTCTAAATGATTACGTGCTAGAACGCATGATTTTTTTTTAAATCTCGAAAACAAAAGACGAAAAAAAATGAAAACAATCCTTTATCAATTTATTGCGTCTGAAGCGTTCTTCGAAAATATAGTTTTGAAAATAGTTTGCCCAGTTGAATGGATTTAAAAAAAGGAAAACAAAGAAGTGCATGTATTATCGATGCTAATACCAAAAACTATTCCAAAAGTAATTCGAAAATTCGGAAGGGTGACTTGGTTATAACAGTAAGTTTCGACTGTAATACCTAGATTGATAAGTTCGGCCGTTTGGTGGCGCTGTACGTTTATTTACTACATCCGGTCGTGATTTTGACGATTCGTCAGAATAGTCATCTTACCTGTAAGTTTACTATTGTTGTTAACATTTAACCCGTTAATCGATTGACCGTCGAAAGAACCGATTATATTAAAATTCTCCAATGCAGGATGAATAAGGCAAACACTAACATTTACACTGAATATGATGTATATATAAATAAGAAGATGTGGTACGAGTGCCAATGAAACAACTCTCCATCCAAGTCAAAATGTATAAACATTTAACAATTATAGGTCAAAGTAAGGCCTTCAACACGGTCTAATCTATATAAAAAACGAAGAAACGAGAACCACTTATGAACCACACCAACAAACGACAACCACTGAACAACAGGCTCCTGACTTAGGACAGGTGCATACAAATGCAGCGGGTTTAAATGGTTTAACAGGCGCCAACCTTCACCCTAACCTGAGACAGTAGTGCAACATTACAACATAAAAAGACACACTATAAAATATCAATTGAAATGGCTCAACTCGAAAGGCATTTAAACAAAAACAAGTAAACATACACTGAACGAATAAGTTTGATCTATGGCACAATATAAATACAATATTAAAACGTAGATGCCTATGCATAGACGTTACAGGTAGTAATAAAAAAAATTTAGGAAGAGTGTCAATAAGACAACTCTTACCTGGGACAACATGGCGTTAAATAAAACAACTTTCACAGGTAAATTTAGTTGTTAGAAGTACAGAAGTAAATATTTTTTATAAATTAATAAATTTGTTGTTCAGAGTACGAGTACAGAACTGAAAATTTATCGTCATACAAAATCAAAGGTGGTACATATTAAAAATAGTGAGACGAGATATAACACAAAATAAGTAAACATTAAATAACAGAAATGCATTACAAATTGTGTCAACAGGTCAAATTAAAGGTAGAATATATGCAGTATAAAATTAACAGAAATGTTTTTTTAAATACTAAAATACAGATGAGTGCGGTCAAAAAATTAACTATCTAGGATCAGTTAAAGCAGACATTAAACAAGTCATTAGTTTTATTAAGATAGTCATCACGTTTGCTTGATAAGTTATTTTGCTGTTCATGTTATGAACCCAAACATTTTATACCTTAAAATATACACTATATATAAGCAATTGATCACATTTGAAATAAGTAACATATATGCAATAGTATTACAAAAGTTGATGCATAAACTGTCTCTAAACTTTTGTACCATTGTTTGCATATGTACCATTTTCCAGTAGAGCTAGTTTTGTTTCTAATATGTCTTCTTCATAATGCTTATCTAATGAACATTCATACGAATTATCATGGCATTTCGATTTTGCATTACAATTTCCTATACTCTTTTCTCCTTTATCCTTTGGTCTCAGTTGATGGGCTTGTAATCCCTGGGGTTTTAGAAGTAAATGTAAAGTCTGAAATGAAAATATTTTTTTTGTTTCAAATATAATATCCACAATGTTTTTGATAGATTGTTTTTAGTACAATTTACCATCGATTGAATATAGATTTTTCAACTACAGAACTCGGATTTAATACACTTGAGACAAACAATCAAATGCAATGCTTGTTCTTAGCCAGCATATTGACAAATAGTGCTTTACTGCTTTATTGCTGTTCCAGTAGCATGTGTATGAATGGGTACCATATGACTACTTGATAAGCTTGTATTTTACTGAAAGATCAATAGGGCCATTTCGAAATTAGGCAAATCAAAAATTTTAAATCTAATTGTGTTTTGTTTCTCATTAGAATAAACAACCTGAACACCTTTGTAATGAATAATCAATATATTCCTATCGTTTATATACTAAATTCCTTACTATTTAACAAATGCAAAAAAAAACACTGTATAAATGATGGAAATAATTATTTGAATGCATTTGTTTCTTTTCCTAAGAATAATTGATATACTCTTAAGCAAATGAGCCATTGTTATATTATAGTTCGTTTCTGTTTGTCTTACATTTTAATGTTGTGTTTTTGTTGTGTCGTTGTTCTCCTCTTATATTTGATGCGTTTCCCTCAGTTTTAGTTTGTAACCCGGATTTGTTTTTATCTCCATCGATTTATGAGTTTCGAACAGCGGTATACTACTGTTGCCTTTATTATTCACCTGGCCCCATTTATAAAATAATCAGGTGATGCAGTATTATCGGTATTATTGCCAATTAGACATTAATTCACCAAGACCAAAACACAAAATGTGAATGTTCATTTTGGTTGCTTTTACAAAAGAAAAAAACCAAGACAAAACTCATGTTTCATTATTTGTATAATCATTGGTATGGTTGCTAAATACTTTTTTTCAGTTCTTATTGCTTAGATACCACATATTTATTACAGTAAATAACCAGAAGTTATTTATTACAGTAAGTAAACAGAAGTTAACGTGAAATAATATGTCAAATTACAGTTCGAATATATCTTAAAAAGAATAACCTCATTCATGACAAACTTTGTTTTTTTAATCTTTGCTTTACAATAAAAGGTGCATCCACCTGGATGTCAAAATAATATTCATACACACTTTTTTGTAAGTGTTTAATTTAAATTCATTCTACAAATAATACTTTTGTTATCACTGTAGTGGCTTTCTTACCTGACAGTTTAGCTTATGGCGCCATATATTGAAAGGTATCATGAGTGGAATGAACATGACTGAAAACGATGCCATACTCCATCCTATAACTATTGCCCAACCTGGATACTCGTAAACACCAGATGGTCGTTTGTATTCCAAGTTTGAATAATTTATAATGCTCATAAGAAACATGCCCTAAAAATAAAAAGGCAAACAAGCTGTTGATTTTTTTTAAGGTTAGATTTTTCTCCTTGAGACAGCAACTGTATACGTACGTAAAGTTGTAATGCTTTTTCATTTCTGAAATATACTCTCATAATACTTTTATTTCAATACACTTTTATTATGTCTTTGTTTTATCACTAGCCAACGAACTTTACATTCGAAATCCTATATGTTATTATGCATGTAAAATGAGATTATGAATTACATTTAATTGACTTTCCAAGTTTAATTGTGTTTTATTTAAAAACATAATTTGTATGCCATCATTTTCTATGTGTGACCCTACATGCCGTACAACCAGGCAACAATTATGTCATTTTTCTGTGATGAAAATAAATTTATTGTCAAAAGTTTTACTTCTTGTATAAACTGTTGTTTTTTTTTGTTTTTTTTTTAAATTTTAACAATAATATAGTTACGTATTTTGATGGGTTTGTACCGAATGTGCCATAGTGCCTTCATTTTTGACTGAATCGGCATTTGCATTGACGACAAAGCATCCTAACAAAGAGACGTTTTCCCAACCCTTAGTTGCTCAGTTCGGTGTTCATGTGATTTACTCAGGGTTTTTGTCTTGAATTCATCGGAATCTTGTTTTACTTCTTATTTTACCACGTTTCAGGGACTTTCTACTTGTTTGTCAGACATGTTTTTAGATATATCACCACCTTTGTACTTTAATGTGTTACTACTTACTTGTAACAATCATATGTATGCTAACATTTTATTCATATTATTAGTTAAGCTGTTATCATATTGTTTACAAACTAAATATGTTAGTTTAATACACTCTCTAGATTGTGTATATCAGTGATAATTGCTACTGAATTACGACAACAGTGGTTAATCGATTTTAAAATCTCGTAAATTGATAAGAAGGGGAAAAGTCAATGTAAAAAACAAAAACCCATGAAACCGCTTACACGTGAAAAAGAGCGTCTCTTGCTACGCATGCATCACCAGCCATACGAATTTACACTGAAAATGTCACAATCGCACATAATTGGTAAGATAACAGATCAGACAACTAAAATGGTATCTAAAGATCTAATACCACAAAAACATGTCGCTGGTGAATTAAGACACTTTATAAGGTTGTTTGAAACTAATTGCAGAATGATTTTTGACGGTTGTTTGTCATATAACTAATATTTTCAATTCTATATAGTAGTAAACAGTAACAGTGTGCAAATAATTTTTACAAAAGTCAAGGTTTGAGCTTTTAACTTGTATTTACATAAATAGAAATACTATTTTTTTGTCTTTTGAAATAAAACAGTACAAATAATTTGGTTTCAATTAAGGTACCTGAACTAGCATAGAAAGTATAAGTGAATAATTTATGAGTACTTACTAAACAAAACATTGGTGACAAAAATGTCCAGCAAATAGCCATGTATGGATTGATTCTGCGCCCTAGCATCATTTCAACATTGTCATAGAACCGTCTGACTCCTTTTTACAACAAACATATGATTATCAAATTTCATTATCAAATTTTAGATTATCTCTGGATTTGTAAATATGTTGTTAAAACATGCATTACATGGATTAAACGTGTTAGTAATATGCTGACGACAGATGGTGTCGTGTAAATTTTTTTGTTGAATGGTTGAGTGTTCATGCATTGTGTTTTTGTTTATACTTTGTGGTGTGGGATTTGTTCATCGTTGAAGGTTGTATGGTGAGCCAAATTTCTTTGTTTTTCTAAATTTACACTGGCAAAAATAAAAAAAAAAAAAAAAAATAAAAAAAAACAACAAAAAAAAACAACACTTTGATTAGCAGGACTTTCATGTGAGTTTCACTCTTGAAATGTGAGTTGGCATTAATCTAATCCAAACGAGATTTATTTTTAGTGTTTGCTTTAAAATATCTAATCTAATAAAGCATATAACCGTTTTTTTTTTAAATATTAAGAAAAACCAGAATAATACTAATATTTAACACACACACACATACGTGTCATTTAAAAATGTTTTAACGTGTAAGATGTGTATTTTTACCGTCTAAAGTTTGTTTCGTCAAAATACTGATTAAGTGAATTTAAATTGAACATGATTTGAACTAGTGTTCCTTTTTGAATTTAAATAAATTATAAATGATTTCAAAAATATATTTGTACAATACTTAACTAATTATTTAATGTGTATAATACATTAAAGAAGAACATGTTTTGCGAATCTAAACTATAAATTTAGTATTTTTTCAATACACACCATAAACCCAGGCTACAGCAACACATTCAAAAAATCCTATTAACAGTATGATGATACACGTAGAGTAAAAGTTGAACAGCTCAAAAACGTAAATACCTCCCTGTAAATAATACAAAAAATTTTTAATATGAAACTTTTAGATAAAACTCAGTCACCTGATATCAACCCCGGTTTTTTGTGGGGTTTTGGGTTGCTCGGTCTTTAGTTTTCTATTTTGTGTTTTGAATATTGTTGTTTGTCTCATGGTTGTTATTAGACATTAGTATGTAAGATATTAGTTAAGATACATTTAAATATTGTGTTGCGTATCAACTAAACATCACTTGAATTGAGGGAAACACTGTAAAATTGTATTATTTTGACATTTGTAGAATGACATGGCAAGAAAGCAAACTTGCTAATATTATTTTGAAACAAAATAAATTATGAGTCCATATCATTCAGCTTTTATAAATACGTTTGTATATATCGTATTTACAAATGTAATGTTAACCTATTCATCTCAACTTTAGAATCGGAGATTATAAGAGCGGGAAAAACGACGTAAATAAATTTTCAAATGATATGAACGATGGCTTTTTTATACGGAGCTTTAAAACGATAGATGTTAATTTGTCAGGTATAATATGACCTGTTTTAGTGTGTAAAATTGGTCTAATCCAACACATTGTATTACAAATGACCCTGTTGACGCATAGGTGTCTATGTGTGTGTGTATGTTTTTTGTGTCATGTACTGATATTTTTTTTCATTTTCTACATTTTGACTGATTTACATTTAGCTTTTCTTATTTATATATTGATGCTAGTTGTTTAAATCATTAACTAAAAGACTTACATGTGTTACCATACAAAGTCCAAGTAAGAAATTCAGGAAGCAAATAAACGCCGTGAAAGCCTCTTTTCTATATTTTCGTCTCAAAACACTAGGCCATTGATCAACTATTGCCGTAACAACTGCCTCAACACCCACAAACTGCAAAGAACAGAGGTTTTATTACAAAGGATTCTTAATTTCTTAATTGGTATTGGATAGGTTTAGTAATACAATATGCTAATTTTTTTAATCAATGATTAGTTCGGGTAGACATATAACTACCCCACACATTCAAAATAGATTGTACATCTATTATTTAATGCCTAGAGAAATTCTGTTTCTGACTATCACTGATAAATGTATACCCTCCAGAGCAAGAAAAATGTGCATGTATATCAGTTATTACATACTACTAAAGACAATCATGGGTACGGTTAAATAGCCAGATAAGCATTTCAGGTAGTTCAACAAGATTGTTTTATTCCTCTCAATATTATTGTCTATGATGGGTAGCTAACTCATTGACAACAATTACGTATCTCCTTATTCATATATATATATATATATATATAAACAAGAAGATATGTTATTAATACCAATGAGTCAACTCTCCTTCCAAGTCACAATGTAAAAAAAGTAGACAATCGTAGGTTAAAGTACGGCCTTCAACACGGAGCCTTGGCTCACATCGATCAACAAGCTATAAAGGTCCCCAAAATGACTAGTGTAAAACAATTCAAACAGGAAAAATAAACTGTCTAATCTACATAAAAAACGAGAAACGAGTAACACTTATGAACGACATCAAAAATCGACAACCACTGAACAACAAGGACAAGTGCATACAAATGCAGCGGGTTTTAACGTTTTAATAAATATTTCCAATTGTCAACTTTCCATTTCACAGCAGAAACATATGCTCTGTCGCATATTAAAGCTTTTTCAGATCTCAACTAATATGTCACGCTCTTATATGTTCAAACCAAGGTAACTTCACTCACATGGTTAAGCTCCTGACACAGATACTGATGAAACAGAGTGACCTATACAAAGTGTCTATGACCTAACTGACTAGCAGCATGTTTTCTACGTCTCAGATCATTATATACCAGAATAGTCATCTAATATGTTGTACTACATTTTGAGTACTTTTCATGATTGTGACATTTTGACTAATGTGGATTCGCATTGAGTTGATGCATGCTGCATAGCAGGAATTGCTGCACTGTCGACGAACCAGGTCTCCTTATTTTTTGTTTTTCCCTCGGTATTATCTTGTTATCGTTATTATTTTCTTAATTGATTTATGAGATTTGAATAGTGGTGCACTAATGCTGTGAGGGGCCTCAGTGGCCGCGCGGTCCAAGTAGGGTAATTTGATCAAATCGATTAACATCATGTTCATAAAGGAATAAAGAAATTAATACGACACATTCTTCAGCAACGTTGTAATATGAATATATATGGTGTACAAATTTTTGCACCTCATGTTTGCAGTATACCATCTTTTCCGCAAGTTTATTGTTTTCTGTTTGTTAATAAATTAATAATTACATCTATTTTGTTACATCTTGTGATCCGTTTATTTGGCAATCGCTAATGGCAGTCAGCAGGGATTAAGAACATCAGTTGTTCGACCTGCTAGTCAAATGCGTTTTGTTAAAATATACTTTTTCACTCATTTGGTCTTTTGGAAAATGTTGTTTGTGCTGTTTTTAGACCCCTCTACCAAGAAATTTGTTTTGCATACACACGTATAAAAATTGTGGTTTTAATCCAACGCAATCATAGGTTTGAACGTTTTTTTTTTCAATTTAGACTTGTTTATATTTTTTCGTTTGGGCTTGTATTATATTTGCTTTCGGGTTTATATGATCCGTTCATCCTATTTTGACTCTTTCAAAATTCAAGAGTCTATCCTAAATTGGGGTGAATTAGATGGCCTTCCGAATACCGTTTCGATTCCTAACATCACTGAAGAAACATTAATTGTCGAAATCCGGATATTGTGTTCAAATTTGTGCACCTCATTTTTGCGGTATACCATCTTTTTCGCAAGTTTATTGTTTTCTGTTTGGTAATACATTAATAATAAGATTTATTTTAGTTACATCTTGTGATCTGTTTATTTGGCAATCGCCAATGGCAGTCAGCAGGGTTTAAGAACATCAGTTGTTCGACCTGCTAGTAAAATGCGTTTTGTTAGAATATACTTTTTCACTCATTTGGTCTTTTGGAAAATGTTGTTTGTGCTGTATTTATACCCCTCTACCAAGACATTTGTCTTGCATGCACACGTATAAAAATTTCGGTTTTTATCCAACGCAATCATAGGTATGAACGTTGTTTTCAATTTAGACTTGTATACATGTATATATAAATATATATGGCTTTTGTCAGTCTTGTATGTTTTTTTTTAATTTAAGTTCATTTATATGTTTTGGAGTTTAATGTGACGTCCATTTTCATTGAACTAGTACACATTTTTGTTTAGGGGCCAGCTGGAGCCTGCCCCCGAGTGCGGGATTTTCTCGCTGTGTTTGACCCATTGGTGGCCTTCGGCTGTTTTCCGCTCTGTGTTCAAGTTGTTGTCTCTTTGACACATTCCCCATTTCCATTCTCAATTATATATATATATATATATGTTCATACCTGACTATCAAATCCAAGTAAAATCACCATGAAGAAAAACAAAATAGACCAAAATGGAGCAGCTGGCATCATCGATACGGCTTTAGGGTAAGCTATGAAAGCTAGTCCAGGTCCTGTATAATGCATGTTATAACGATTAGAACAATAAACATAAGTATCATGTGGATATCCCTTATTCCCCCCTTAGCATTTAAAATATTACAAAAAAAACAAAGTGAAAGTAAAATGAGCCGTAGTATTTAAAATAACAGAAATGGTACGCGTACTTGATTAAACCATTTATAACTGTTTTTAAAAGTTCATTATAAGTGTATTATTCTTGTTAAATAATGAGTTAAAACTTTATTCTTGATATTTGTAAAGTAAAAAATAAAAGCCTTTCCCCGTAAAAAAAAAAAAATAAAAAAAAAATGACAGATGTATTAGAAACATTCAGCCGTACAAATTCAAGTCTTTCAATCTATGTAGGTCATTTTTAAAGTCCGCTGTGTCTGTGCACCTAAGAGGTTACGACACGAATATCCTGTTCAGATGACAGATTTTATAAAATAAAAAAATATAATAGTCAAATTGTAGTATTAAATTTTGAGTATTGTGAACAGAAATTCAATTTCATTGTTAACCAATCATGAAATGATTATTTGTAAAGATGATTATATATGGTGTATCTGTGCATGAACTTATAGAATAGCTCTGGACATGATGAAAGGACATTTCTTTTACTGAAACAAGATGAAAAATGTAGTTTAAACTCTCACACATATTTAGGCAATAGTTAGGCTACGTAACAGTTTTTACGTTACTTTGTCTCCAGCTTAGCTTTTTCTCTGATTAACAGTTCCGTGCCCAGGAAGAAATATATAACATTTATAAGATAACTCTAATAACTCCAGTCAATATTGTTTTGTCTATTTATATTTAAACAGATAACTAATCCTCATCTACATATTTAGGGGTTTATGATCATCCTTTATTTAGGTTTTTATGAATATTGATAAAGATAGTTTCCGAGGATTATAACAAATAGTGGTCAAGTGGATATTTGATGGAATCAAGGGAAATCGTTAAGATACTCTTGGTATGTTGGACAACATCTATCGTCTACTTTTTAATTGATTTAATGTGTAATTGTCATTTAAATGTATAGTACCCGGACAATAAAAAGATAGCATTCGGCAATTTGGTTTCGTTTTTTTGAGTTTTGAATATTCTTGTTTTGTTTGTGTTGCTTTTTCTAACCTGACTCAGCCACTTTGTCTATGGACGTTTCTTGTACGAAGGCCATGTGACCCAAAATTGTAAAGATGATTAATCCAGCTAATAAACTGGTCCCAGTATTTGTACATGCGAAAATGATGCAGTCTCTGTGAATAAAAGAAACATTTCGAAACTGCCCTTAAACGAGCAAATTGTCCGACCTATTTTTACTTTTTTTACTCGTTGCCCTGTGTATATTTTCCCTGACTGTGTATGGTCACGTACGTGTACTTAAATTCATTGAAAAGATTTACATTGACTTTTACCAGTTTAATTTTTCGATATTCTGAAACATGACAATAGAAAAATTATAGCTAAATACATCTACAACATATCACGTTTGCTTGTCAATACAAATATCAAAGTTTGTGCATTAATGCAATTATCTCAAAAGTTTACAGATATTATTATCTTAGAAATATTCACTAGTTCATATAAAAATTTCATAACGCTGAATGTAATATAATTTTGTTTTCTTCCATAAATAAATATTTTTTTTCTAAAATATACTAGCAGCCCTCACTCATTGCACTTGTAGTTATACTATTTGTTAATGTTATTAAGTTCATTTACCTTTAAAACTTGGTCACCTCCATTTAATTACTTTTATGCTAATTATGATACATTTCCTTGTTGTCATATCAATCATACTGTACATGTATATATTTTTTTTTTGGTTGGTGCCCATATATCAACATTCATTAAAAAGCATTTCGCTTGACATGTTCACATCAATTTAAATAAATATACACGAATGATTTAAATATAGTACATATATTTTTGCGGAGTAGTATTGCATAGAGTTATTTTCCATGTTGGTAATTGCTATGCATTGGAGATAACGTTTTCTACCTTCAATACCAAGTTTTCGTTTAATGTTTTTGTGCTGTACACGTTTAAATAAGGGTTAAACCTCCATAAAGAGGTGTTTCTACTTAAAGAAGGCTTATACACAGAAAACGTTTACCTGTGTATTAGTGGTTAAAAGGGAGATTCCAAGCCTATATAATAGGTTTTCGATATTTGATTTTTCGTAGACATTATAAGCTACATAACATACTTGTAGGAGTTGTGTTTGAACTTGTTGAAACTTCCAAGAACTGTGAGTGAACCAACTCCAATAGAATAAGTGAAAAATATTTGAGAACCAGCGTCAACCCACACCTGAAATTTAAGAACATAGGATTATAATTACAACATTATTATTAATTGTCAACCTGATTGTATATACTTCAACGATCATTATAACTTTGTATTTGTTGTACCGGAAAAAGCACTTGTTAAATGTAAAATATGTTTTCAGTGTTTCAAGTCAGGCAAATATAAACTGATTATAAAATGTTTTCATAAATTTGTAATGATGGATGAAAAGTCAAAACTGTTCAACGGAACATTAATGTTTGAAATGTAGAAAACATCATACCCAGTTCTATTATTAAATCGAATCAAAAACAAACCTCACAATCATGAAATGGGTATCAATTTGTAGAATATTGTACCATTTTGAACTCATTTACAGTAGGTGTTTTCAGTAAAAAGGTCAAAACGTAGAGAAAGCCTCTGTTGTTGTTAATATGCATTACATAAACATTAAGTTAAACTCTTCAACGCATATTTTATTTATTCCAAAATATCTAAGGATGACAAACACGCAACGATTATTCTGTATTAGTCTGTCTTCAATATACACACATGAAGGTCGCAATAATCTTCACTGACATTAATATACGTATATATCTACAGACGTACTTAGTCATTAGAAAATTGCTTATGTATATTTTTTTAAGAAAAAAAAACTGTTCTAAGTTCACATCAACCTAATTATTCATATCAGAGTCTTAGACAAGGGTAAAGCTTTTTTAATGACCTTCATAATGTTTAAATTACAACAAAATTAATGTGCTCGCTAAATTCAAATGGCATGCATATAATTTAAACAACAGAGTTTAGTAAGTACCATAAAAGTAACGTGACTCATTTTTGAACACACTAACGTATACTGTACGACAATATAAATAGGAATAAAGGAAAAGCAGAATGTCTTACTGTAACACTACTTTTTTTTATTTATCGCTTATGAGATCATCATATACAATAAAGAAGAAGATAATTTGGGAAAACTATAATAAAAAAAAAAAAAAAAAAAAAAAAAACGGTTCTTTAAAGGAAACTCAGGTTTGTAATAAAGACTGAATTAAACGAGGTATGGTCTCAGGTTTGTAATAAAGACTGAATTAAACGAGGTGTGGTCTCAGGTTTGTAATAAAGACTGAATTAAACGAGGTGTGGTCTCGGGTTTGTAAAAAGGACTAATTTAAACGAGGTGTGGTCTCAGGTATATAATAAGGACTGAATTAAACGAGGTGTGGTCTCAGGTATGCAATAAAGACTGAATGAAACGAGTAGTGGTCTCAGGTTTGTAATAAGGACTGAATTAAACGAATTGTGGTCTCAGGTATATAATACGGACTGAATTAAACGAGGTGTGGTCTCAGGTATATTATAAAGCCTGAATTAAACGAGGTGTGGTCTCAGGTTTGTAATAAGGACTAAATTAAACGAGGTGTGGTCTCAGGTATATAATAAGGACTGAATTAAACAAGGTGTGGTCTCAGGTATGCAATAAAGACTGAATTAAACGAGTAGTGGTCTCAGGTTTGTAATAAGGACTGAATTAAACGAGGTGTGGTCTCAGGTATATAATACGGACTGAATTAAACGAGGTGTGGTCTCAGGTATATAATAAAGCCTGAATTAAACGAGGTGTGGTCTCAGGTTTGTAATAAGGACTGAATTAAACGAGGTGTGTCCTCAGGTTTGTAATAAGGACTGAATTAAACGAGATGTAGTCTCAGGTATGTTAAAATGACTGAATTAAACGAGGTGTGGTCTCAGGTATGTAATAAAGACTGAATTAAACGAGGTGTGGTCTCAGGTTTGTAATAAGGACTGAATTAAACGAGGTGTGGTCTCAGGTATGTAATAATGACTGAATTAAACGAGGTGTGGTCTCAGGTATACAATAAGGGTACTAAGTACATGCTCATGTATTAAAACTTGTTCCATTACTAATTCAAGAACCTGATCCATATCGTTCATACTATTCCGTTGAAATAAGTGTACCTTTAATTATAGAAAGCACAATATGTACAAAGCAAGAAAACAGTTTATGAATTTGTTCAAACATTTCATTAAGGATAATGTAATCTTGTGACCTTCAAAATTCTTTATTACACAAAATGAATGTATTTATTGTGTATATTTAGCATGCATATCATTTACACAACGACTTTTAGTAAGTGAATCAATCATCAAATGTACGTAATTCCTTTTTTTTAACGGCATAACATTAATATATTAGCGACTTAGATACGTTCTTTCTCAATAGTATACTGATCGACAATATAAATCGATTGAAAGGGAAGACAGAGTGTCTTATTGGTAGGATTATGATTTTGCAATCATTTTTTGTTTGTTTGTTTTACTTATGAGTACAGCGTGTACAAAAAGACAAGAAAATATTAAGAACCATAATTGGCAGAACGATAAACAAGGCTATGCTCAAGAGAAAAAACGATGAACAGACAACCGATAGTCCACAAAACACCATACAGAAAAAAAAGACTGACTAACACGAGCTGTGGTCGCAGGTAAGTTCAACATGGACGAAAAAAAGAAAAAGATACTATTGGCAAAACAGGAACTGTAATTTGCAGAAAATAAACAACACGTTTCTCAAAAGAAAGCGACGAACAGACAAACGCTATATTGAAAAAATAAAGACTGCATTACACGAGGTGTGATCTTAGGTATATAATAAGTGTACAAAGTGTATGCTCATGTAGTAAAACTTGTCCCATTACTCATTTAAGAACCTGATGCATGTAAAGAGAGGTGAAAGAACCTAAAGGTTCTTTAAAACTCATAAGTAGAAAATTCATACAATTCACTTCTATTGAAATGAGTGGATTTGAATTTACGAAAGTTCCAATATCTACAAAGCAGGAACCACAGTCCTGATGAATATTCAAAATCAATTTGTTCAATATTTTTATCAATATTTTCATTAAGGGAAAATTAAAATGGAAACATTAAAGTCCTGAGTAAGACATTTCTATTGGCGAATTTATTGATATCCATAATAACTAGGAAGATTGATTAATCGCTTGTGTATAAATATCACCTTTATAAATAGCCCTACTGACCTAAACAGAATCATTTAAAAGACAGATTCTACACGTTTGTTCTTTATTAATAACATTATTGTTAAAAGAAAAACATGCAATTTTTACAAATTTCTTGATTGTTTTTTTTTATCATATCGATTTGTGGAAATCAAATATTGTTTTGGATTTCTTATTTATAAAACAATATCACAAATTATAAGATAATGTATTTTGTTGTTGTTTTTAGAAAGAAAAATAAAACGTTCTAATTATTGACACCATCCTGTTTACTCACGTCAAAATTTTATATAAGGGTAATGTAACCTTGTGACCTTCATAATTCTTTATTACAACAAAATTAATGTCCTTGCTACATTTATTTGGCATGCATATTAATTAAACAACAATGTTTAGTAAGTGAAAACATAATTAAATGTACGTCATTCAATTTGTAAAGTTCTAATAATAATAATAAGTTAGCCATTTAGGTACGCTGCATTTTTGTTTTTTTACTTTTTTTTCAATTGTATACTGAACGACAATATAAATAAAACAAAAAGGATTGTGACTTTTTTCTAGAATTTGTTTTGCAAAACGTTTATTTTGTCATTTATAAAATAGAGACGAAGGATAACAAGGAAATTTTTAAACTCATAAATCGAAAACAAACTGACAATGCCATGGTAAATAAAGAGCTGCGCCATTGGCGCATGATACGCCCGTTGCTTTTTCAAAGAATAAAGTTCCATAACTCCTCAATGTCATATCAAAAATTTATAAAAAAAAACTAAAAGGAGGTAATTGTTATAGATATAAACACCAAATGTTCATGGAAACCTCTCAAAAACACTTTTGAGTTATTGTCCGAAAACTGGAAAATCAACCCTTTTTTATGAATAAAATCCAATTACTCGGAAACGATATACCTAAAATTTATAAAAATCGAAATAGAGCTTACATCAATAGATATAAACAATTCACCAAAGTTTCTTGCAAACTGGTGAAAGTGTTTTTTAGTTATTGTCTAAAAGCTAGAAAATCCCCCTTTTTTAATGAATAAAGCCCCAAAAGTCGAAAACGTAAAATTTAAAATTTATAAAAATCCAAAGGGAGCTCACGTCAATGATATAAACAATTCACCAAAGTGTCATGCAAATTGGTTAAAGCGTTTTTGAGTTATTGTCTGACATGTTGACGACGGACGGACAGACGGACAGACGGAAAGACGGACAGAGAGACAGACGGTCAGACGGACAGACGGATGAACGCACAATGGTATACTATAATACGTCCCGTAAACGGGCGTATAAAAACGAAAAAAAAAAAAACAGTACGTAAAGCACAGCATAGAAAAACGAAAGACGAAGCATTATGAACCCCATCAAAAACCGGGTGGTGATTTCATTTACTCCGGAAGGATAAGTTATGATTATGCGTTCAACTTGGACAAACGAAGAAAAAAAAATAACACTCTGGGGAAATCAATAATAAAAAAAAAACATTTCCGTGTTCAAAAGAAAAACGGCGAACATACAATCAAAAGTTCACAAACCATCTCACAAAAAATAAAGCTTTAAAAACACGAGTTGCTATCTCATGTATAATAGAAGAGTTCTAAGTGTCGTTTCATATGGGGAAACAGGTTTCGTTACTCATGCTTTAATATAATACAATAATTCCTATAATCCCGTTTTTACGTGTTGTTTCTGAACCAGAACACACACTTTTATACTTTTCTCCATAATGTGTTGATGTACGTTTTATCCAACATGTGTTAATTTCCTTATTCTCAAACATGTGTTGATAAAATCTTCTCCACGTAGATGATAATTGCCAAGCAAAAGATAAAAAGAGGACTAGAACTTCTCAAGTTATAGATGGGGATTCTGCATTTAGTGTTTTCAGATCTACTTTTCATGATAATTGAAATAAACGTTATTCCTACCAAATGATATTTCTTATATCTATCTTGTGTAAGACAAAAGGGACACTCACACTTTGTTACATAGTGTAAATCTATAGAATGAATTTCTCCGATGGAGGATTATGTGTTGAATGATTTAGATTAGGTTTTAAATGTTAGTTTTAATGCTCTGCTCTTTTTGATAAATTCAGTGTCAAATTTTATCCTGTTATCAAGGTACATAATCACAACAAGCATAAGGTTTTAACAACACGCAATTTATCAATGTGTTTATGCAGTGCAGTTTTCTTAGCATTTATTCACAAACATTTAAAAAGAAAAATCATGTTTTACGTTTTTACTTTACTAATTGTTATTATGTTACATAAGTACCTTATATTTTCCTTATATAATACTGTAATCTTTTTGATAAATTCAGAGTCATATTATATCCTGTTACAAACAAACATTTCAACATGAGAGAGAAAAAAAAAAAAAAGGTTTTTAATACAAACTATTTATCAGTGTGTTAAAACAATGCAATTTCGTGTTCAATTTTTTAAGTTATTTTTCTTCAAAATGATACAAAATTCATCTTTTACGTGTTTACTTTACTAATTGTTTATATATTATTTATGTACTTAGGTGAGGTTTAGGAATTTTTGTCAAAAGATCGGACTCCTTGATTTTTTTCCTACGAAACAGGGTAAACTATTTTGCCCCATTATACCCATTTTTCTCTTCATATAAGATTTCAATAGCTCATGAAAGGTCATTTATCAAAATTTAAGCAGATTCTAGATTTCTTATCTTTTGATTTGAGACCCAAATAATACCAATGCAAATACAAGTTAAAAGTCCGAATCAGCCTTTTCCCGCCATATTTTAAAAATTAAGTATCCTGAAAAGGAATTCCATAACCTATCAATATTTTTAGCTTATTTTGTTCCTTAACTAATGCTCTTCTGACTTAAAGTATCAATTTAAAATTCTAGATTTAAAGTACATCCTTAAGTGCCTTATTTTTTTCTGTTTTTACAATGAAAATAATTGTCTTACCAGGCTGTATACTAATACAATAGAGACCACCAGACAATTACACTTTTCTGTTTATTTAGGAAAGTTTGTGTTGACAATAAAAATTATAAAGTGAACTAATGTTGTCTCCCACACTATTTAAAAGTTTAAATTATCTGCATTAGTTTCCAATATTTTTAAACCCACTTAATTTAAAAAATAAGGGGTGTGGTATGATTACCAATGTGACAACTATCCACCAAGTTCAAATGATGTTGATGTGAGCAATTCTAAGCTACCGCACGGCCTTCAATAATTAGAAAAACCGATACCGTATAGTCGGTTATAAGAGGCCCCGACATGAAAAATATTTACTAATTTAATTGAGAAAACTAACGCCTAGCAACATAATTTACAAAAAACAAATATGACAGCAACAACAAAAACCACTGAACAACAGACTTCTGAGTTGTGACAGGCACATACAGAATGTGACGGGGTAAAACATGTTTGTGGGCCCTCAACTCTCCCCTAACCTGGGATAGTGGTGTAACAGAACTTACAAATGTTTTCAGTTTCTCGAAAAATATCAAGACACTTTTTTTTTAAATGTATATGATTGCTGCATCATGAACACATTCATGATGACACGACCTTCCATAATAATGTGCACTGATAAATTAAAGAAAAACTTGATAGAAAACGTGTTATCATGGTTCTAGCAAAAAAAATGTAATTATAAGTTTTGAATGCTTCATTTAGTAATTTTATAGGGCTGTAAAAGCGTTTACCGTGCGCACATTTTTATTATGAAGCGCTTCCGCGCTTCATACAAAATGTACTTCGGTCAACGCTTTTACACTCCAATACATTTACCAAAAAAAAGCATTCAATTCTTAAGTAAACTGTGACTTACCTGCATAGACGCAAGTTTACTTAGATTAGGCTTCAAGTAATATATGACACCATCAATAGCTCCTGGTAACATTGAATTTCTTATCAATAAGATGAACATGAACAGATAAGGCGTTGTAGCCGTAAAGTACATAACCTGTAATTATAAAAATAACTTATTAGCACCTGATATCACCCCGTTATTTTGGTTGGGTTCGTGCTTCTCAGTATTTAGTTTTCCATGTTGTGTTTTGTATACTGTTGATACTGTTTTAAGCCGTGGCATTGTCAGTTTATTTTCGACTAATGAGTTTGAATGTCCTTAAAGTATTTCTCGCCTCTCTTATATGCATGTAATGTGTCCGGTTTCAACTCTAATTCTCTCGGATAGTCTTTGGCTCGATGTCAGTTGATCATGAACACACCGGTTTATGTAAGGTTGATTGAATGTAAAAATACAATCTGAAAACCTGTAGAATTTTGAATTTCTTATATGAACATGTGCACAAAGATTTGCGTACACTATTCCTTTTGATATTTTGTATAATGCATACTTTCCGAGAATACAGTCATCTTTGAAGACATTCCTAGGTGTTAAATTTGAAACCAGTTATATAAGAGGAGTGGTGTATAAAAAATTCTGCTGGAAATTCGGAGGTGTAAATCGAAGCTGAGTGTACAGAAACTTTCAACATGTTCAAGCTCATGGAACGTTTAGGCGACTGCAACAACTATTCTACTGGGTTGTGTAAATTACTTTTTGTAAAGCTAAATTGTATTGTTTTCTCCAATAATTATACCATCTTCTCCATTCAGCATTCTTAAATATTTTTACTCTTTGCCCTAATAGCAATTTTAAGTACTTATCTCTTAACTTACTCAAAAAATAGTAAATTAATATAATTCGTTTGGCGGCAAGACAGATATCTTAGAAACCATTCATTTCTGCAATACTGTAGACATGCTGAAGTAGGTTGTTATCATCGGAATTTCAACGCACAACACTCGTTCCTGGGTTTTAATTTGCTAATCCGTGACTATTTCACCATTCGCAACAATATCGTGATTTTCTACAAACTATTTGCATAAAAAATATTTACGCGTTTTCACTTGATCGTAAATTTAGCAAAAAAAAAAAAAAATTTCACGCTGACAGTATCATTTTTATGCCATATCTGAGACTCCTCATGAGGTTTTTGATTATTTGATTACCAGACCAAATATTTCATGATTATTTGATTATTTGATTTTCTTGTTTAAAAATATAATTAATGATTATGTGATTATACTGGCAAAACAATTGTGATTATGTGATTACTTAGACACCCCCATGAGGGGACCTCATATTTGTTAACTTGACGAACAGTTTAAAATATTTATAGAAAAACGTCATTTTTGGGGCCCTTTATAGCTTGCTGTTCTGTGTGAGCCAGTTTACTTTTACAAATTGTGACTTGGAGGGAGAGTTGTTTCATTGGCACTCAAACCACATCTTCTTATGTCTATTGAAATCCGTGCAATTTATAAAGTTTTGTTTTCCTTCGTCAGACGACTTAAACCCACAGCGAGTTCTGACTGCGTCATATCTAATACAAATACGTCCTTGCTATCTACAGAACAGTATGAAAATAAAGATGATAGTACAGTAAGATCATAAAAATGATAGTACAGTATGAACATCAAAATGATAGTACAGTATGAAAATCAAGATGATAGTACAGTATGAACATCAAGATGATAGAACAGTATGAAAATCAAGATGATAGTACAGTATGAAAATCAAGATGATAGTACAGTATGAAAATCAAGATGATAGTACAGTATGAACATCAAGATGATAGTACAGTATGAACATCAAGATGATAGTACAGTATGAACATCAAGACGATAGTACACTATGCAGATTAAGATGATAGATCTACGTACCTTTCCTGAAGACTTTATTCCTTTACATATACATAGATACACGGCAATCCAGGCAAACAACAAACATAAACAAATATCCCATTTTATAGCTCCAGGCTGATCAATGCCATCAGAAATTCCTAGGACTTTATTTCTAAAAGGTAATTATATTTTTCTTATCAATTAAAAGATCTCATTGCAATGATATTGTGATTGAAATATTGTGTATATATATATTCTAAGAATTCCGCTTTTGAAACATTTGAGATAATAATTCTACTCTTCCATTTTTATGAAGTACTACTTTCGCCCCTTGTAAATTATAAAAATTAAGTTTTTTTCAAATATTGAAGATGACTCATTATTTATCGGTTGATACTATAACAGAAATATTAAAACTCACTCCCAGAATTCTGTAACCGGATCCAATACCAACTGGATTGATGTATTTTGCACAGCAGAAAGAAACGGAAGAGTATAATTTGCCATTTCATCATTTTGTAGACTCGTATTTGTGAAGTTTCCGCCTTCTATAGTAAAGTCTTTGCAGTGTACGTTCCATTCATGACCACAGCTGGCCCAAGGCAGTTCACTTGTAAATGAACTAAACCAATAGTAAAAGGCCCATGCCATGATAACGTTGAAAAAAGTATTGGAGAAAAACATGATGACAGTTGACGCTATCCCTATCCCTAACAAAAAAGAAAAATAAGATGTTTAAGATGCTATTTAAAAGTAATGCATATAACTTGATCGACTAAATATATTCCGGGCATCACTATTGACAACTTTTGCCGAGATACAAAGATATAACTTAGTATGCTAGACGCGCGTTTCTTCTTTGAAAGATTCATCAGTTGTTCTCGAATGAAAACAGTTATATGGCAACATCGAAGACGACATTGAAAATCATTGAAACCAAACAAATTTCAAAATTTTAAACCGTTTCTGGCTCATAAGACATTTGCGGAAACTGTCATACATCTACGATTAGGATTACAATTACACTTACAAGTAGCATTTAAATACTGGGTCTTTTAAATGTGTGAATACAGTTCAAAACAAAGAGTTGTTCTATAGTTGAACAACGGGATTTCGATACAAAATGGCATCTTTGCAGCTTGAGGTGGAATCGGGACAACTTGGACACAAATGCAAATTGGGCTAAGACAACTCGGGCCAATTTAAAGAGAACTCTGACCAGTTTGACACACTTGTCAGACCAGCGGATCTTCGTGGTTTTTACGTTTGATCTGATTTTTGTTTGTTTTTTGTCAAGATTTTTTTTCTCCTCAGTTTCCCCTAACTGACTATCTTAGCTTGATGTGACAACTTGTCAGTTTGGAGCATTACAATACGTTCCGTTACTATAAATTGTTGCTTTACGGCCTAACGAGATCAATAAGAAAAAAAACAACAACAAATATCATACAATGCAATGAAAATTTAAAGCAGATATATATTCGTCTTTTGATATACTGGCCCGTGTTGTGATAAGTGATCCTAGAAATGTTTCAAGATGGTTGATATGCTTTTACCGCCAGGCACCAAATGTTATTTGTCGACTATTGTTAGCAACAACTAGATTCAATTTATATTGTGGTTTGGTATATAATCCTTATTTGTCAGCGGTCTCAATTATTTTAACTTTGTTATTATTGGTAAAAATATACCATGATTCGTCAAAATCTGTTGATTTTTCTTATCGTCATAATGAACTATATGTTTCTTTGTGGAGTTTATGTGGACTTGTTTTGTATTTTCGTCGCTTTCTTTTGACCATGGTAGAGTCTTTTTTCTTCGACTTATTGGTTCTAAATGCCCATTGCATCGTTTTCTCGTTTAAAAGAAATAAAAGTAACTTAAATTGCATTAAACATATAGATGCATTACATTTTAAATTAAATCAAGAATTTCAAGGTATAGACCCCCAAGAACTCCGTTTAAATATTCTTAAATCACTCAGGTTGTCTTTTAAAGTACAATGATGTCTGTGAACCTATTTTTAGATTTGATGCAAATCAAGTTTTTTAAACGATGATTTTTTTTTATTTCTTTAGATATAAAGTAGTTAATACATGTTACCAAGTAAAACTATACTACATCATTTTTGACTAAAGGGACTTTAAGCGCTTGTAAAGATATTTGATACGGGGATTAAATGGATCCGCATCTTATTCAAACACTTGACACATCATTTATTACGAGAAATTTCTATATTTCATTAAGAATAAGTTATAAGCTGATATTTTGAAAAAAATTGCCCACTCAATATTTAGTTACTACATGCATCATTAAATCAAGAAACAGTAGAAAAATACCGTTCATTTTATGTGGCAAGATCTAAACGTTATTGTTAAAAAAATCACGAACTATTTAAGTCGGTTAAGGAGCATTTACGGACACAGAAGTATAACTGTATAAAAGATGTACGCCTCCCAATTACCAATTTTGTAAAGCGAGTGGAACTACTAATACGAAAAAAAATGAATAAATGATAAGTGTATTTCGTGCATTTTTTTATGGATGAAGAACACCGATTAAACATGGCAGCATTACATGCCCTGATGCAGACTCCACCAGATGTAAGGTACACATTTCATTTATCATCTGATTATAACCCTTGTAGTTCTAGCTTGACCACCGACAAAACCATCTTTTACAATATGGGAAAAAGTTAAATCGCAAAAATACTGAACTCCGAGAAAATCCAAAACGGAAAGTCCCTAATCAAATGGCAAAATTAAAAGCACAAACACATCAAACGAATGGACAACAACTGTCATATTCCTAACTTGGTACAGGCATTTTCTTATGTAGAAAATGGTGGATTGAACATGGTTTTTTGTGCTAAACCTCTCTCTTGTATGGCAGTCGCATCAAATTCCATTATATTGACAACGATGCGTGAATAAAACAAACAGACATAAAAGGTAAAAATGTCAAAATAGAGGTACAGTAGTCAACACCGTGTCACAATCTTAATCGCAACAAAAACAAACAAATATTTAATAAAGAAGCACAAAGAAGCATATGTCACATTTAACAACCTCGTTCATTGCTTACTTATTTTTGTATTTTATTTGTGTATGCAAATCAACCCATAAAGAATCGTGGGATTTTAAGCACTGGGACATAATCGTAATTTTAACATTAACTCAGGCGTGGAATCGCGTGTTTGACGTCAGAATGTAAATGTCACACAGGTAGAGATATAAAATAATTTTGTCGTTCAAAGTATGCAAAAATTATAATAGAACAATAACACAATGGCGGGATGTTTAAAGTACAGAGACACGTACTATATTATATTATAGGCACTGATGTATACTTTTTGAATGGGAGAAATGTGTTCACTTGTTTTGAAAGCAAACGACATTCTTTTTACCGGTGAAACTCCTGAAACGTTACTGAATCCTAAGCTTTCCCTAACGGGCAACAATCATTTAAATGCCATAATACCCCAATAGCTCAAAAAGTATAGTATCTCTTATCTTAAATAACGTTATATCTCATATATCAAATAACGTAACGGTTATATCTCATATATCAAATAACGTTATATCTCATATATCAAATAACGTAATATCTCATATCTCAAATAATAAAATTGAGAATGGAAATGGGGAATGTGTCAAAGAGACAACAACCCGACCACAGAACAGACAACAGCAGAAGGCCACCAACAGGTCTTATATCTCACGTATCAAATAACATAATAGCTTATAGATAAAAAATACACATCCAACCCTTATCAAAACAAAGTATCGTTTTTTTGTTCTAATTAAAGTATATTACATCTTTCAAAACAAGTATCCAACATCTTAAATGGACAAGTATTTCATATCTTGAATAGATAAGTATTTCATATCTTGAAAAGAAAAGTATTTTATATCTTGAATAGACAAGTATTTCATATCTTGAAAAGAAAAGTATTTTATATCTTGAATAGACAAGTATTTTATATCTTGAATAGACCATAATCCCATATTTTGAATAGACAAGTATATTCCATATTTCTGGTAACAAATTAATGAAACATACACCTGATCTCATTTTAAAAATAAATTCCATATTTCAATATAATCAAAAAGCAAAGATATAAAAAAATTTAAAAAATCAAAGTAAAAAAATAATAATCTATAATTATAAATATACTCAACGTTCTGTTGCATACATTCTTGGAAATAATACCTTGAAATAACGGACATATTTTCCATGCATTTAGGCCAGCAACGCCCATGAACTGTCCAACGCATACTTCTAAATAAAATAATGGTATTCCGCCAACAATGCAACATATAAAGTACGGAATCATAAAAGCTCCTGCAGAAGAAAATTGTTTATAAGAAATATTTTTTTTTGTGGAACAATAATTACAAAACTCTTGTGTGATATATGCGAACATACAACAGTCAGCAAAACAAATCTAAGTACATTTTGTTAAATAAGTTGAAATGGGCAAAGGAACAAGGAAGGCTTGGGTTAATTACATGCCAACAATAACAACTTCAATTCAAATAATTTACATTTACAGCTATTTTAAATATGAAATGTAATGAATTACATTACATTACAAGTACATTCAGTCTGAAAAGTAATTAATTACAAATGAATTACAATTAAAGTACTAAACACTGTATTACATAGGACACAAATTCAAACCAGCTTGCACGGACCTTTGAAAATGTAGAGTTCAACGTTGAAACATTTGTACAACTATTGTTCTAGGTTTTCATTTTTTTCAAATTTTATTAAAAATGAATACACGTTATGTTTCAAATGCTTTGTTATCTGAGTATGAAATACATCATTTATTGAAGTTTAGGCCTTCTGAAAATCTGTTGTATTTCAGTTATTGCAGTTCGTTAAGGGTTTTTTTATTAATTTTTATTACTTTTATTGTTTTTTTCATAATCTGATGTAATCAAAATACAGAAAAATCAGTATTTTACATAAAGGAGGATGAATTGAATATGGAAACATAAAAAAATGCTATAACAAAATTTTTATTGAATAAAACGAACACTATTATAAATCTTGTGCGTCCAAATTGCTTTCTGGTTTAAAATTCATCAATCCAGCTCAAACCTAAACACTTTAAAGCCTGGGTGCGTAAGTACTAAATACGCTGTGACTTTACGTCCAAAATGGACATAACAATATATTAATCAGTTACGGTCAACTTTCCCTGAGGCATTATATATATGACATCTAGATATATATGTTATAAATTATGTCATTTGCGAAGCACTGACCACTTAGGTGATTTAACCCGCGGTGAATAACAATCTTCTAGCAGTATATCATATGTGAATGCATTAACTAGTTTGCAAGGTAAACATACATATTAGATTTGGCACTAAAACCACGGGATAGTGTTGTACTTGTTTAATTGTTTAAGTGGACGAATATATCCCGAGTCATATTTTATATCATTATCTTCATGGTTATAACAACAAATTTATAGAATAAATGTAAATGCATATGTAGTGATTTCAATCTTTTAATTGTTTTATTGCGATAAAATTACTTAAACGAAAATGAAGATTATTATAGATGCAATACATATTTACAATATTCGTATTAATGTTCTTAAAACATATCATATAAAGCTACAACTAAATTGTTTTTTTTTTGTAATTTCACTTATTCGTGTGAGTTGACCAGAGAAATAAAAAAAATGTGAAAACGTTCATGCTTATACTCCGATGTAATTGAAATTATTTTTACAAAAGTAATTCATAGTTACATGGCAAAAAAGGCATAGTTCATGTTATTGAAAATATGCTCAATCACACATAATTTTTAAATACTCACAGGTTCGTAATTAAATAAGGGTAATTACAATTACATTTTCAATTCTCCAAAGTATAGTTCAAGGCATTGTTCAAAATTCGAAACTTTATTTGTAATTCTTAACTTAAAGAAAAAGCTGCTTTTAAATTAGCATCAATGTCTAACTAGTTATTTGTATAAACAAACACTTGTTAAACAGTACTGTACTTACCCCCTCCGTTCTTGTAGCATAAATAAGGAAAGCGCCAAACATTACCAAGTCCAACGGAAAATCCTATACATGCTAACAAAAAGTCAAAACGTTTACTCCACGTCTCACGTTTTTTTATTCCTCCTTTTTCCTTAACATGACCACCTTCTCCCATCTTGACTCTATCTCGAATAAGCTGAATCTATTCGAAATGATAATGTGTACCATAAGACAGATTGTTGACAACAGTCATTTATTATAATTGCAGTTCATTCATCGTTCACAACAGTAACACCTGTATTTACCGAATGTTTTCTTGACTACTGTGAAACATGCGTACAAATATCAATCTATTGATATCATAATTTTCCATCGCATGACTTAAAATGATATTTTGTTATTTTGATGAATTGTTATATACATTTAATTTTATTTTCATTATAGAATATAATGTCTGTTGTTAACAAATATGTTTAAATAGCGATAACATTCAGTTATAACTACTTTGTGTAATCTGCAAAAGAAATATCTGAGTTAAAAAAAATCTATTGAAATGAATGTTTGACATATTTATCAGGCAGGGGTCTTTCATAACTTCCTATACTAATATATTTGGTCATTATGGAAGCCGTACAGTGACCTATAGTCTGTTTTATATATATTTAATAGCTGTATAGTTGGCAATCATACCAAATCTGGTATAAATTACCTTTATTGTATTCATGTAATTAACGTTAAAGCTCTTTAAATATACAACTTAACCTTAGAAAATGGTGAATTAAAGTTAAACAATCCAATACAGTGTGCATATCAACGAACATAAACGGATCAATTAATACTATTTTTCAAAATTAAGTCATAACACATCAGTTTGATCAACATACAACGCTTGCACACTAAATTTGCGTGAGTACAGCAGTTCAGAGTTCACGATGCAGTTCCTATCGTGCAAATATAAATACAATAAACAAACAGTTACGTCAATATACTTCTGAAACAGTTCGTTTGTACTGAGTGTAAAGTAAGAGGATTAACAAACCAAATATATTAGCAACATATCGTATTGAGTCTTCAAATCCCTTTGAATATTTAAACACAATGAATGATACGTTAAGTATCCAATCAACAGTAGTCAGTAGTTTTTGTTTAAATTTGGGGAGATTATGGCAATCATTTGATTATTTCTGTTTGATGTATCAAAACATTTTCGACTTAAAGTTAGTCATATTGAAAAGACACATGTCAGTTTATTGTTGAACCCTCAATGTATAGACGTATTTCTGATAATTATATCTTATCGACATTCACCCACACCCCTTTTATTCATTTGGAAATGGCAACTGATCTTATTTAAACTGGATAAATAAGATTGAAAATATTTAAAGCTTGTTCAAAGACATGAGAGATACAAAGCACTTTAACTATACTTTTGTGGTAAAACATCCCTGTTATCTATCAAGTTTAAATGAAAACTATACGAAAAGGTGTTCCTTTATTTGAAATAACGCGTTTAATCTCTATCACATCTGTATTTGTAAATATCACATGAATACTAATTAAAACATGTTTTTGCATCATTGAACGAAATGTACGTTGTGTGCGTGCATTTCAAAGCGGGTTTCTGAATGATTAAACAAAATGCACTTCATTTGGATGTAAACGCGTTTTAAACGTTTATGTTGCACATTTTGACATCCAAAATTCTAGTTCATAGGGCTATTGTGAAATATGTACATTTATTTTAAGATGGTTTGACTTTTGTCGTGAAGAAATGTGTCATTCAATTCTAAATTAAATAATAACTATATATTTTTACTTGTAAACAAGCAAATCGTTCCACATATTTTAGTCAAATGTTTTACGAATTGCCATTTGGACATAATATTTCAAACATTGAAAGACAATTACAATATAACAAAGACAAACAAAAACAAACAACAACAAAACTTTTGAATATCATATACTTATAATTTAAAATATTTTGTTCTTTGGAAAATAAAAAAAATGTTGTTATGTTTTTATTTTTAGGAAACCTTACGCCAAAAACTATTTGCGAAATTATTAGAAAATAGGTGAAACATTCACAGCTTTTTTTCCGAATTGAAAATTATATTATATCGGTGATATGATGCATTCATGGCAGGAAACACATTCCGGTTTACTTGGTCTCGTTCCTTTTGTAGTACATGCGATTCACTCGGATATTGTTTGTTGACTTGATGTGTTTCTTACTCATTGATTTACGAATTTTGAACATCGGAAGACTTCTGTCTAGAAAAATCAATTTGAATGTTTGACAACAAAGAATGATACGTATTTTACTAAGTATCAAATAACAGTAATCAGTAGTGTTTGTATGTTGTACCAGAATATTATGAGTTTATAGCAAATATTTGATTGTGTCTGTTTAATTAATCCACAATATTTTTCAATTAGGAAAAATTTGTAGCTTGTCTTTTTGAAAAGACACATGTCCATTAATAGTTCAAAACACTCCATATTGCATTAAAGATATATTTTTGTTAATTGTATATTATTGGTGTTCACCCTGCAGCCCTTCTATTCATATGAAAATGGCAGTTGATCTTCTTTAAGCTGGATAACTTTAGAATGAGAAATGCACAATAACTAATAAGACGTTATAGATACAATGAACATAAACCCAACATTACCTTTGCCGTAATACATTCCTATAATTTGTCTAGTGTATATGTAAATTATACGAAAAGGTGTCCATTTATTTCAAATATCGCGTTTGATCTCGTTCATGTTTGTATTTGTATGTATCGCATGAATGTTAATAAAAACAAGTGTTTGTATCATTGAACGAAATGCACGTTGTATGCATGCATACAAAAGCGGGTTTCTGAATGATTAAACAAAATGCACTTGATTTTGATTTGAACGCGTTTAAAACTTAATTAATACAGATTATGCATAATTAATTTATGTTGCACATTTTGACATTAAAATTGCCAGTTCATAGGGCTATTGTGAATTATGAACATTTATTTTTAGATTGTTTGACATTTGTCGTGAAGAAATGTGTCATTCAATTCTATATTAAAAGGAAACTCTATGATATTACTTTTCAAACAAGCAAATCATTCCACATATTTTAGTCAAATGTTTTACAAATTTCCATTTGGACTTTATATTTCAAAAATTGAAAGACAATTACAATATAACAAAGACAAACAAAAACAAACAACAACAAAACTTTTGAAAATCATATACTTATAATTTGAAATATTTTGTTCTTTGGAGAATAAAAAAAAGTGTTGTTATGTGTTTATTTTTAGAAAAACCTTACGCCAAAAACTGTTTGCAAAATTATTAGAAAATAGGTGGAGTATTCACTACTTTTTTACCCGAATTGAAAATTGTATTATATCAGTGATACATTCATGGCAGGAGACACAGTCCGGTTTACTTGGTCAGTTTCTTTTGGAATTCGTGCGATTCGCCCGAATATTTTATGTTAATTTGATGTGTTTTTAACTCATTGATTTACGAATGTTGAACATCGAAAGACTTCTGTCTAGAAAAATCCGTTTGAATGTTTGACAACAAAGAATGCTACTTATTTTACTAAGTATCAAATAACAGTAATCAGTAGTGTTGGTATATCGTTTCATATTATTGTGATTTTATAGCAAATATTTAATTGTGTCTTTTTAATTAATCCACAATATTTTTCAATTAGGGAAAATTTATAGCTTGTCTTTTTGAAAAGACACATGTCCATTTATTGTTAAACACTCAATATTGCGACAAAGATACATGTTTGTAATCGTATCTTTTTGGTGTTCACCCTACAGACCTTTCTTTATATATGAAATAATAGTTGATCTTCTTTGAACTTTAGAATGAAAAGATTCAAAACAATTTAAAATTCATTTGAGATACTAGGCACATTAAACATCCTACATTACCTTTGCGGTAAAATATTCCTATTATTTGTCAAGTTTACACGTAAATTATACGAAAAGATGTCCATTTATTTGAAATATAGCGTTTGATCTTTTCATATTTGCATTTGCATGATTAAACGAATGCACGCTGCATGCATGCATACAAACACGGATTTCTGAATGATTACGCTAAATGCACTTTGTTTGACTTTAAATGCGTTTCAAACTGAACAAATTAAATTTCCTCATATTCAAATTCCGCTGCACGTTTTGACATGAACAATGCCAGTTTATATGGCTATAATGAATTATGTACATTTATTTTTGGACACAACACGCTGATCGTTCGACATATGTGTCTTGATTATAACTTTTCAAACGTGCCATATATTCCACATAATTTAATCAAGTGATTTACAAATTGCCATTCCAGCTTAATGTTTCCAAATCAGAGACAATCACACCCCCTTCCCCCCCTTCCACCCCCATCCCCACCTCCCCCACCCCCACCCCCCCCCCCCCCCCCCCCAAAAAAAAAATTAAAATAGAAATTACCAATTACATAACTATTAAACATCATTATAATTATTTACTAGATTATCTTGTTGTTATCCATTCGTTTGATGTGTTTGAGCTTTTGATTTTGCCATTTGATTAGGGACTTTCCGTTTTGAATTTTCCTCGGAGTTCGGTATTTTTATGATTTTACTTTTTGTTCTTTGAATAAGAAGAAGATTTGTTATGGTTTTAATAGGGAAGCTTTTTTTAAAAAAAACTATTGATTTAATTAGTCCAAAATAGGTTCAACATTTTTTTTTCAACTTTTGGTTAATTAAATATTTTATTATATAGGTGATACATACATGGCATAAGACACATGCCGGTGTACCTGTTCTCTTTCTTTGTGGTATCTTCTCGGAATGTGTGTTGCCTTAGTTTGTCTTTTACTCATCTATTTAAGGAAGTTCAACATCGGAAGAATACTGTCGGCTTTAAAAGATATTCAATTTTATTTAATGAAATTACGATATTTCATATTTGTTTTTCAATTTTGAATACGAAAAGGGATATGTCAACAGAAGTCCGATAAAAGATTCGAACATCTAGACTGGTTAATGGTATAATAGAAAGTATTGCTAGGTTTGGGATTAGAAAATATATATATAGATATAAGAAGATGTGGTATGAGTACTAATGAGACAACTCTCCATCCTAGTCACAATTTATAAAGGTAAAACCATTATAGGTCAAAGTACGGTCTTCAACACGGAGCCTTGGCTCACACCGC